ACGTTCACAAACTCACGACACACACATGTATATAGATAATATATATAGAAACTGGCAGCGACAGTATATATACAACACAAGCAGCTTCAGCAACTAATTGGCTTTTAGACCGTATATTCTTATTTTTCTTTTTCTCCTTCGTGCTTGGCTGCTGTTGCTTCTGCTGCTGCTGCTCCTCCGCGTTCGGTTTCTTCTTGGTCTTTTGTCGCTTGCTCTCGGCGCACTCCCAAGCTCTGGGATGAATATATCCGTTGGCTTTGGCCTGCACTACACACTGCACACTATACAAAACACAGACACAGACAGACACACACACAGACCGCAACGTAGCGCGGTTAGTCTCGCGCGGCAAAAAAAACCTCCTTTTCGTACGAGTCCTCTCGTATTTCCGTGTTCGAAACGAAGAGTACCTTTTGAATTTTTATAATTTGCAACAGTCGTTTTCTCAACGTGTCCTGGGCGGGAGAGGACCTCTTCGAGCGAATACGTTCGAGTGCAGCAGCGTGTGGCGGTGGTTTTTCGCAAACACGCTCGCTTCGCTTATGATTTTTCCTCTCTTTTTCTGCCCGCAAACGAAAGGCCGGGGATGCAGCGAATAGGAGATATCGGCGCTCGGTGGCACGTAGTGGTAGCAGCAGTAGTAGCAAAGGACCAACAAGTCGAGATTTTTGCGCGCTCAAGCGAGTCTGGCCGATCGTCGAAACAAAAGCCAGCAGATAAGTGCGCAGCGGCGATCGATCTCGGGCGCCGATATATCTTTCAACTTTAGCTTTTTACGAGTATATACGTACTGGCTGTAAGAACATTTACGCGCGCGGCGTACACAGCGTACACATGCAGTTGTACGGAGCGTCGCGATTGGTGTATTCGGGCCGCGGACGATGTGTGCCAATGACCGCGATATCGGCTCCTACATGGACGTCGTCTTTCGCTCGACGACTTTCTTCTTTCTATTGTGTGCGAATGTGTGCAGGAAAAGCCAAGTCTACTAGCGCTTGGTGTATATCGCGAACGTACGAAAGCACTGGCACAGATGCACAGCTGGACGGCGACCGCGAGAGACGATGCGCACTTGTCAAAATAGTCCGCGCGAGGGCCACAATAATCACGCACACGGGCAGATGCACAAAACGTCACTGTAAACTCTGCGTATAATGTATAATAAGCGGACCGCATGCACCAGTAGGACCGTCGCAGCAGCTCAGGCTGTAAACTGTAAACACAGGAGGTTGCACACACACTGCACTGCGTCGAGCACGCTGCGTGCACGCTGCTGCTCTTATATACCGATGCTGTCTTGCTAAAACAGAGAGACACTCGCGTGCTGAGTTGGACGGCGCGTCGCGAGAACTGGCTATGTAGGCCTAAATCGCGCTCGCTGCCTCATGCTAACTCTCTGCTGCTGTAGCACATGCTGCCATCACAGAGAGTAAGAGAGAGAGAGAGAATCCCTTCTCCGTAGCCAAGCGCGCCTTCCACCATCCACTGTATATGTGCGTTGCGAATATATCGCGCGTATATATAAGCGCGTGTACGTGAGTGTGCAGCTCGATGCACACACAACAAAGTTGGCCTGTTGCTGTTTTGCGACTCGCGTTGTATGCGCCTCCTGTACTGTACATATATGCCGCTGCTGTTGCTCCCACACAAGCACCAACACACATCCACGATATATACCTATACATGTATTATATACGCCAGCGAGACCAGCGAGACTCGTTATCTCTCTTTCTCTCTCCCACTTGGTCTTACGTCGTATTGCTGCTACACTCGCACTTATACACTTACACAGATGCAAACTGTGCCTCGACTGCAGCCTATAGCAACTACTATGCAACAACATTCGCAATTCTCGATGTTTCGCATGTACGACTGCGGTAAAGCGCATACTTATGGAAGGATATATAGGTTGAGAAGTGATTGAATCCGCGTACACATAGCGTGCATATATACATATTGCGGCCCAATAGGCTGTCGCGCTGCGCTAGCTCATATATAGCTGTGGCTCGTTCGCTAACTTGTAATACACGTTTGTTGTTGCTTTTTCTTTGCGGCCGCACGCGAGACGCAACTTACATACGAAACAAATCTCTTTTGGCCTTTTTTTATCCCCCGGTAAGCGTGTGACAGGTTGCTCATGTTGATTCGGCCCGGCTTCCGTTCCGATCGTCGTTTCTTTCCTTTCTTTTTATCGCGCCTAACTCGTACGAGTCGGCAGTCGCCACCGAGAGCCTAAAATACTGTACGCCATTACTCGCCTGACATCTGATTATTTTTATTAGCCCTTTTACGAGCCGTTTAGCGGGCATTTAACGCCTCTAGGCTCATTGTTACGGCCATGTTTTTCACACACGCACACGCACGCACGCACATGTACAGACGCTGTACATGCTAAAAGTGCCTCGATAGCGATCGTTTTCGTAGACATAAATTTAAAACAAAATACGGCAAAAAAAAATAACACGACACCCTATCTAATCGACTCTGAGCTCTTTCGTCACCCAGAAATGTTATACACTCGTTCCTACGCATGATTCACGGAGTTTTTATGTAAACTCGATTTCGTCCAGCGAGCGCGACGTGCTGCTCTTGAAAATATCATTTTAAAAAAATGGAATTACTCGTTACACGCAAAAACACTTTCCGCGCGCTGCTTCAAACTTCGATCCGTGCGAAGAATCAAGATAGAATCGTCTTTCTTTTCTGATAGGTATGAAAAAAGCTTCGAACGCTACATTCACTATTCGAGCGTCTCGATGAATTATATCTTTTTTCCAATGTGTCACGTTTTATTTTATGACTTTTATTTTGTTTTACTCGAAATGCAATTTAAAAATAAAGGCGCGTTGAAACTCGACGAATGCATATTATGATAGGTAACGAGATACGAGGCGCAATGAGCAATTCAATTTATCTCGTCGGGCTCGAAATTTACGAACTAAAAACTCGTAATACTTGATTTGACGCATAATTTTCAAAGTCAAAATAAGACAGAGATTATTGATCGATAAGTCGGAGCAAGCCCGATACATTCTGTGGGGTGCCTAAAACAACAATCACCTCAAAACCGCATCATAAGCGTATGCGTGCACCAGCTCTCTCGAATAAATCCACCGGCTGCGCGAGAATACACAAACCCCCTCATTCTTCGGCCCGCAGCGGCGGCACACATGCCACGGCGCGTCTCATATGTGAATTACGCATGACGTGCATCCCGAGCTATATGCTATAGCCTAGCCGCAGCAGACAAAATCTTCACGAACGATTAACAAGAGAAAGAGAGAGAGAGAGAGCGCCTGGCAGCTCACGAGCTTATCCTGAGAAAAAAAGAGACGAGTAACTCTCGAGACCTTATACATGGCTCCGAAACAGCAGCAGGCAGCTACCGTCCGGCATTTATGCATAATATCCGCAGCCTCGAGTATTTTACGAAAAGTGCCAATTTTTGCCTGGCCCGACGCTGCTACCTACGCTCTAAATCGGCGCATTTTGCGCAAAAATTCAGCCTCGACCACACAAACCTTATCAAGTCGGGCTATGCACATATATTCGTGCCTTGTAAATTTATTATACGCCCGAGCCGTATGAGTCTGTGTGTTTATATAAAGGACGTTTTTAACTTGCGGCTGATGGCTTTTAGTTCAGCAAAGCCGCTGCACACACGTACACAAGTGCGCAAAGGGGAGTTTAATTGAATGCTGGTCGATGCTGGCCAAGATACAACATTTCCCGGAATTTTAGAGCTTGTGTCGACGGCGAGTTACGAGGCTGAATTTTCTATACTTCTTTATATTACGCTTGCCTAAATCATATCCTCTCGTTCTTTAAATTACTTTTCTTGACTTCATCTCGAGGCGATTTATGACGAAGCGCTTCTATATTTATTTGTCAAGGAGTTCGATCGATATAAAGTAAACTTGACGAAAAAGGAAAACAGATACGAGTGTAGAAATGGGCAATGTTTAACGCAAACATCGATGCAAAGATACAGTGTACATACACAAACAAAATATAATGTACCGTAGGCTCGCGAAACGGTATTTTTAAATATCGTTGCATGCCCACGAACTGCGTGGCGATGAATGCGAAAAAAGATAAGTCTCTCAACAATAACAGCTTGCACGCGCATACGGAATCGCGTTCGATCTCGTCGATCCAAAAATTCGCATCACGCGTATCGCACACACACAAATACGTGCAGGCGGACAGCGGCATTTCCCACGGCATCGACGCATTACACCCACGCATCGCGCCTGCCTTTTTACGTTGTATACCTCTCGCGCGAGCTCGTGCCTCTTGTTGCGACTAAAAGTGCGACTAAAAGTGCGCCTCTTGCAGCCGAGAGAAAGAGCGGACGAAAAAAATTGCGCGTACGCGTACTCTACGTGGCTGCAGCTAGTATATTAGCAAGCGAGTCTGTTGCGCGCCTGCTACGTACGCGCGGTACAACAATTTTCCGACTCCGTGACAAATGCCTGCCTATGACTGCGTTGCGAGAGGCTGCATTTCGATTCTTGGTCTTCCTCGTAAGCAGCGGCTGCTCGGACATTTTACAAAAATTATCATGTACAAAATAAAGTTATGCTGCTGCATTGTGCAACGTCTCTGTTGCATACAAAAGTTGCATCGCGAGACGTATTATGTCATTATGCTGGGCAACGAGATCTGCTACCTACTCCTGCGAGTGCCATTTTCGAACGAAAATCCTCGTTTTGAGAGATTGACAAAATTCATTTTTAACATAATACACATGGAAGCCCGATGAAAATGATTTAAAAATTATTGCAAATTCGAGTATATATGTGACACGATAAATAATATTCGATAATAATATTATTGGCAGAGAAATATGTACGGGTACCCGGTCACTCAATCGCATATAGGTATACAATTTCCTAGTAACGAAATGGTTATAAAATCGATTGACGTATCTAGTTTTATGATAATGTCACGTTTTCGAAAATTTAAATAAGAGCTTGAAATGTGTCCTCGAGTGCAATTATTATTCACTTGGAATCGATCGAGTCCACAAGATGTACACCAAAGCTCTGTTCTTCCTTGTTTTGATCTGTAGCACTGCTTTTGTAATTCAATTTTCATTCATTCATTTCGGACGAAAAAACAAATCAGGTGAAAGTGTTGCTTATTTCGTTATTATTTTTTCCAGGCTACTCCAAAGCATCATCAACGTAACCGTCATGGACTTCATAGAGTGAGTATATATTTTTTTAATTATTTTCGACGACAACTTTTCTCTTAATACCGTACAAATTCACGAATTAAGGTTCGACGAGGTGTCGGAGATAAACTTAAACAATGGGTCGCTAAAATAAAAGATCAAGCTGCCAAAGTATTGAGTAAAATTCAAGATAAGACGGTGGAAGTTTACAACAAGGTGACCGGCAGGGCTGAATTACTCAATAAGCTCAAGGAATTGAACGAGCAAATGGCCGATGTGAAAGATAGACAAATCTCTTTGGAGAACGAAATCGTCCAAAAGCATAACGAGCTGCAGCAGAAGGAAAAAGAAGTTGAAAGCTTGAAGTATCAGCTGGAACAAAATAAAAATGCCTCCGCCCAAGAGAAAGAGGCCGCGAAGAAACGTTTGCAGGATCTCATAGTAATTCTCGAACAACAACGAAAAGCTTTTGACAATGATCTTGAGACCAAATCATTATAAAGGAAATAAATTATTCCATACCACGCATGAATTATGAAAACCCTATTTTGGTATTTATTACCGACATTTCATGTGCTGCGCATCGAGTATTTAACAAACTTCAACTATTATTCATATGATAAACTCTGACGTTTAATATTACTTTACATTGTCTGTCATAATAAAAGCAAATGGTACAGCTTAATACCCAAGCTCAGCTTTCATAAATCCACTATTCATCGATAAATCTGCGTTACATCGAGTTATTTCAAATTCAGAATCCATGTCAGTGCTGATCCTGTTAGCTTTGTATTAAAATCGTTCGACGTTCAAGGTGATGCTTTTATCAATTAATTTCATAATATATTTCATTATTGAACCTTTACATTCGCGGGTCTCTTACATATGGAATTTTGTTAAAACTGAAATACGCTGTAAATTTCACTTACGGCTTTTTGTTCAAATATTGGAAATTACGTGTTATTTTATATCTCGAATAAATCGATGCAAAAATCCAACATTTATCGACGTTTAAAGAGTAGTTAATGTGCTGACATAGGCATTACTCATCTTTTTCATAACTTTACTTCAGAACGATAAAAAAATCGTTTGTACGTAAATTCAATTTTATGAAAAGAAAAACAATGGATATTTTATTTGACGTAAAGGTAAAATTTTAATTTACAGCGTTAATACGAAAAAGCGCCTACGGTTATAAACTTGGTCATCGCTGCTCTAAATTGCTGAAATAACAACAGTTAATGTTGTAAAACTTGTTAAACATAAAATGATCGAAGTTTCATCGGGAGGTAGCTAAAAAGGAAAAAAAGCTAAATTGGAAAAAAGTACGATTTTGGAAAAGTTTAATTTTCAGTATGAAAAGAGGCGTTGGTTTTTTGATACAATGAGGCTGCGCAACTTTTGTTGCACGAGTTTGTGCTGTCGGCACGTGCGTGACGGCTCGCGAGTGCGAAAAATATACTCTGATTTAAATTTGCAAGCATTCTTATCTGAAAGAGACTGTGGCAGCGATATTTATATTTAAATTACTCGCTGCGCAAATAGTAGTGATTAATACATAAAAATAAAAAATATTCGTGAGTTGGCTCACGTAAAGTTCGTCATGCCTGACTATGGTTCTCTACAAACATGGAAAAAGTATATTTTTTTCTTTTTTCTACTGCGAACAGTTTCATTTGGTTTTAATTAAATTGCATCTCGGCAGCAGCGCGGGGCGCTTTATTTACGACAGGAGTGCAGCATTTTCCAGACCAATAAGTAGATTTTACGCGGTCGTCTATAGATTGGCCGCTTTAATTTTTTTCCCCTCCTGCGGGCAGAGCACACAGAGCGCAGTGCAGAGTGCGCAAAGTAGGCATCATTTTCACATTCTTTACGGTTCATTAAGTCGTTGAGCAAGTCACTTGCAATTAGCATAGAAAATTATCGAAAATTGCAGAGGGGAAGTAGCGCGATATAAATTGGAGGCTACATTAGATTTTGTTTGCTCGGTCGGTTCTTGCGCGCACAGCGGAGAGCACAGCTGCAGCTGCGAACACGGCGAGGAAGCGAAATCGTAAAAAGAAGGTGATTCGGCGCGCGAGCAAGGAAATGCATATAAAAGTGTTGAACAGGCGGATAATTCGCGAAAGGCTCATGTCTTGGCGGGGATCTCAAGGCTAGTCCGCTGCTACTGACTGCTGCGACCGTGGACGTACACGTACAGCTCTCGCCTATACGTACGGAGGATCAAGGCTGTACTCGATGAGAGGCCAGAGAGAAAACGAGATGGCCAGCCGAGAGAGTAAGAGAGAGAGAGACGCGACGCGACGTCTTCATGGGATTCTCCCTTCTCGACATGACAAATTGAGAAAGCGCGAGGAAGCACGAGGCGTATGTACTACTGTGCAGTGCGTCGAATATTCGCGGATTATGCAAACGATATTTACACTGGCTCGCTCGACGAGCTTTTTACAAGCTGACAGAATGCTTATTGCTGCTAATAAAGTACGAGATTTAGATAGAGACGCGGCGCAGCTATACAGAGCCTGGAGCAGCAACGAGTACGAATGACACTTTAATCAATGGCAAAAATACGTTACGCACCTTCGTTCCTACGTACGTATAGTCGATTGGGAAAACGAGATTTGCCGAGTGCGCTAAGCTACTTACACGCGACGTCGTGCCTCTGCATTTTGTACATTTTGCTCTAGATGGTATATAGGCTCGCTGCAACGGCAACGACGACAACAAAAAAACGTCGAAAACGAGCCAATTACCACATGTTATCGGTCGCGAATTCAATCGGCCAAGTTAGATCGATTCCCATCGCGTCGCGTTGATGGGCGCCTGGCGGAGGACACTCGAATAGTCATGCGCGTACGGCGGCGCCTTAGCTAACTTTTGTATACGATAGTAGCGTCTTTGCAGCCAACATCGAAGCAACTTGGGAGGCAACTCCATGTACAACTATATAACGTAGCTTAATGCACGCGCGTACCTATATCGAGTGCGCACTCCTATAGCCCTCGACCCTTGTGTAGCCTTACACGAGTCGACTGGCCCTAAGGGTATAGCGACTTGGTTGGATCGCCAACTCGTTTCGCCCCCTCTACGTATAAATAGGTTAAACTTTGCAATAATTACTGCCTATATAGCGTTACAACGGAATTACTTGCGCTACGATCGAGTTTGCACCGAGTGCAGTTGAAAATATACGATACTCGTACGCCGCGTACGAGTGATTCCCGGGCCAGCTCGTGTACGCATAAATATATTTTGTAGACTTTTTTTCTTTTCGCTCGCGTTTAACGCAATTATTAGCGAGCCACTCGACTAGCAGCACATCGTCGAAAATTCTAATAAATAGGTCAAGATTGCGTTGAGAACTTTTATACGCCACCCGTATGTATGCGAAGCAATTTGCGACTTATTACGGAAAAATATAAAATCGAAAAAAAAAACGTACGAGAGAGAAAGAGAGTATATACGTATCCCACATACGCACCGGTGTAGAAAATTACGGAGGAAAAATCTACGTCCTGTCGATCGTATATTAGTTTTTCGAGTAATGCACGCGAACTTGCAAACGCGCACGGACTCGTGCTACAGGTACACGTTATGATACGCGGCAGTGCAAAATAAAACTTTTCCTGCGCGTTGCTGCCTATGTATACTGTTGATGTTCCATCAAGCGCGACACGTGACGCAACTCGTTCCTTTTTTTTTATTGAATCCTTACACACGCACACGACACAGAGAGCTCGAATCGACTAATTCGAAGCTTTAAATTAAATCGATCGGCTGGCTGTGTTGTTTGCTCGTGGCCGAGTGTGTGTTTTCCTTGCTTCGGTCGCGGTGAGTATCGTGTAGCAGGTCTCGTTAAAGAAAAGCACGAAGACGTATAAAAATCGAATAATAAACAGTGGCCGCCGCGCATATATAGCATGTATATACTGCAGCGTGAGCAACCACGCGATACCCTCGTTCCAGAAGAGCTGCAATCGCAGCGGTGGCTTGTGGTGTGGTCGCGTTCACCGTTACACATGCTCCGCGATCGACTCTCCTCTCTCTCTCTCGTCGTATTATTATATATACAGCACCTTCTTACGTCATTCAACTTGCAGCTCTTATGCATGTATATATATTTTGGATTACATTAGCTCAGGAATGTAATTCGCGCTATGGGGTATACTGTACGAGCTCGCGCTGGAATGCGATCTCCGAGGTATTTTAGGCTTTTTCGAACGTGTCTCGACCGATGGCATTTAATTGGAGCCTGAACTCGAAGCTCGAATAGACGACACCGCCGCGCGGATAATTGGCATATTTTTCTTGCGGGCTGACTATTGATTTTCTAAACTCGCTCTGGAGCTTCGAGCGCCTCCGCGTCTGTGTGTGTGCAGTACGCGTGTGTATAGAGAGAAAGAGAGGCCCGGACGCGCAAAGTTTAACCAGCGCGACTTGTTGTTGGCAAACAACGCGAATGTATAACTGCTTCATCAAGCGAGTCTTTCATCGCGCCCCCGACCCCGAGAGCTGTACATCAGCGTCAACAGGAGCCTGTGTCAGCTAGGAATCTTTGCTGCACGAGCCCGACCAAACGATGCACGGATATACGTCTAGGGACCAGAGTCCACGGAGAAAACAAACAGTTTCGACTGATTTTTCCATCTTTATTTATTTATTCATTTTTTTGCAACATAATATAAAAAGGCTAATGATGTATGCAAGCACGACTTGCCTCACGCGTCTTACACAATGGACAATTTTCCGCCTTTTTCGCGACGAAAATCTCTCAAACTGCCAGGATCAAGCTCGCAGCGGAGCATTGTAAGTTGCACTTGTTGGCGTACTCGCTTAGATACAAGTCAAATCTCTCTTATATTCGGCTTTTGAATCGATCGATCAGCGGCGAATTTCCACGCCAAATCCTTCGATATGAATTCATGGCTCCAAAGACCAAAGCCGAGTGCGCACTCCAAGATTGTATTCCCCTATCCTATCTGTGTACATACACACTCACACAAGCTGGCGCTCAAGCCAGTGTAGAGGGATAGAAGAAATTGTTTTCTTGATAAGGAACTTCTTCCCCGCTGAAACGAGGTCACGTTCGTCTTTTTTTTCGGTGGACAAATACACAAGCCATTTTATGAAGCGCTATATATACGATAAAAAATTGAGCTTATTTTACTCTCCCACTTTTACGATTTGATAAAAAAATAGCATTCAACCAAATAGAATATTATTTTTAAGTACTTGCTTGAAATAAAAAAAAACTTTATACCCTCGACCGAGAGGATAGAACGCGTAAATATAAACAAGCCGAATAGCATCAAAAATGTCGAATTCCTGCAGCGTTATAAATTCCGTGCAGGAGTCAGCACTTTTGTCAAAGTATCGATGTAATTTATCAATAGCATTTTCATGCATTAAAAGACATCGAGTCCGAATTTCGTCAAGTAATATTTTTCCCTTAAACAATGAGCAGAAATTCGACGCTCAACGATCACTCTCTGGGTCACGTATGCACGAATATTTCAATCATTGCGAGCGCAGAGATTCGTGAAAATCCATTAAATTCACAAATCTTAGTAATAATCTCCCGAAGCGAATCGAGCGAAGAGGCATTAAATTCCATATCTCGCTCGACATCTGCGGAATATCTCTTCCTCGACTCGACATCCACCGACGCGTGATAGAAAT